CAAGTCTTATGCAGGAGGAGCGAGTGTCATGGAAAACGCATGTTTCCCCTTAAGAAGTGCAATGACGTCACTGCTGCTCGTCACATCAGCACCGTCAACCTGTAGAATGCGCCATCCAACAACGCAGCAAGGCTCTACAACCCCTGCTGCACGGAGTGCCTCTGAAAAAGGAGTGTCGTTCACATTTTTGTCGGTGGGATTATCTTCGGAGTCGTCCCTGTAGTCTGAGACGGCCAGTCGGCGTATAGAGGGACGCTCCCCATACAGAGAAAACCCCAACGGTGCGGTTGCGTTAGCTCGCTTGGCGTGAATTGTGAGGGTGTCCAGTTGGGTTGCCCTTTCGGCTTGAGCGCATGCCCTAACAGAGCCATCCGCAACGGCAGCACCACCGTCCATTAGGCGATGCATCGCCTTTTCTGCACGCCACTTTTTCCGCTGTTTTTTGACATGAAACAACAGGCTGTGGCGCACTGCAAGCAGACAAGTTGCCTCAAGTCGCGCCAGAATGCGACGATTTGCCCGCTTGCAGTGTGTGCGACGTGTGGGGTCAAGTCCCTCCACCTCTGCCGCCAACCCGGGACATCTCTTGTGCAGCGTGAGTGCCATGTTTTGCGCCCACACGTGCCGCTTCTTCACAGCCGGTGAGGAGCCAGCCAGCGGTAGGCGAGCGAGGTTCTGCTCCCGTCGAAGACCATCACGGTAACAGCGGAGAACGTTGGTCACCACATACAGGCGCAGAACAAAATACCCAAGAGCCCGCCCAAAGTGCCGGAGCGTCCCGCCCACAGACCCCACTCGAACAATAGCGGACACCTCTGCATCCCCTGCGCCTGAGGATTTCAGATGCGATTGCAGCCCATTCGTTAACTCGCGGTTCTGAGACAAAACAAACACCATTTCCTGCAGCTGAAAAAGAGGCATCCACAGAAATGAGGGATGAACGACGTGCGCATGGACAACACTTAGAATCGATTGCGCTTGCCGCCGCTGTTGTCGTTCGTCCACCAACTCATCTGCACATGACATGCCCGTGAAGCACCGCAACACCTTTTTGCTGCGCAGGTGCCACAACTGTTTTGCTGTGTTGTGATCCAGAGCAAACAAAACCTCCTTAACGTAGGAGGATACCACCGAGCCATCGATCGTGTCGACGGAGCCGCCCAACCCATCACCCAGCAGCGCCTGATGGTCACGACGATACAGTGAGAGAAAAAACGCCACCTCCGTCGCCTGCGAAAGACTCACCCCACACACACGAAACGCCGACTTTACTCCACGGCGCCGCTCCTCTCCGTCACCGTCCATGACGTCACTCAGCTGCTTGAGTGCCAGAAAACAATGAAGCGAGCTTGTCAGCACCGCTGTTCCAGCGCTATCAATGTAGTGACGACGAAGCAGTGGAAAAAAGGAGGTTGAAATACCTCGCATGAACCGATACACACAACACTCAACAAATGAAATGTTACCCTTTTCCTCATACATTGGTGCGAACGCAGAAATATCCTGCGATGCATACATTCTGATGTACGTGTGCACAAGCGAACTAACAGCCACGCGCAGGAAGGACGCAGCCTGCAGCACCGGTTCCCAATCAGGGTCCGTTACTGTGCCCTCTCTTCGGGCGTCCGTCCATGCGTGGGAAATATCCGCCGGGGTTGTCAGTTCCCGGCCCGTCTTTTTACACGCAACAAAATATATTTCCACCTCCATCTCCAACACCGTGCGGCACAAAACAACATGGGGCATCAACATTTCGGCCGTTGATGTGGTCTGAGTTTTTTTTCAGTGCAGCAAATGTGTTTACAGTACTTGTCAGCATCCGAAGAAGAAGCAGGGATTTCGTCGGGTCTAGCGCAAAAAACTTGTTACTTTCACCTGCTTTGAGCTCGGCTCTCAAGTGGGCGTAGCGAAGGTTAAGCGAGGCATGTATTGTGCGGTGCGTCATCACCTTGTCTCTGGAGCTACGCTCTAGCGGGGGCGCCAGATTCTGCCAAAGTTGTTGCAGGCAGGAAACGAACCGCCGCTCCAACTTCAACGGAGGTGCTTGAGAAAGAGACGAGGCCGTCAGCAAGAGCCACATAACTATTGAGACTAGGCCACATCCGCCATCACATACTTCCCCGCTGAGAGGAAGGTTCGTACTGCTTTCCATGACCGCAAGCAGACCTTCGACAGCTGAAAGGACGGGGGAAAACTGAGAAACATGTACCGCGTCTTCTGTGAAGCGTGTCGTTCCCTCAACTATGCGTGCCAAAAACGTATAGGCCGTATTTCGTATAGATGAGGTGCAGTCGATTACGCGGTGCTCAAGCAGCTGCAGTTCCTCACCGCCGCTTTGTCTCACTGAAGGCCTCGAAAGATGCCAATGGAGTTCATCCGCAATCGAAACGGTCATGGAAATAATTGTCGTGATGCACAAGCACAACGTCTGTCTACATGCAGCATCAACTGGCTTGCCGAGTTCAGCCTCTACAGCCTTGCCAAACAAGGAACGACAGGCATCATCGAGAGATGCAAAGGCCTTCACGTGCATCTTAAGCCCATCGGAGCGCCAAGAGTGAAGCTGCTTTGTCTTCGCCATGTCACACTCGCGAAGATCCCGCCAGCGGCGTTTGCCCTCACGACGAAACTCCCGCATGGACTCACAAAGTGCCACGGATAATGTGACAAGTGCCCCGCTGCGTAAATAAACATCGGAGAGGTGTTTCACCTCCCGAATATGCACGCTCGCTTCGGTGCGGAGAGCACTGCGGTGAAGCAGGGCCGCAACCTCACGACTCCCACACTCCCTGCCCGCCACAGTACCTGCTGTGGCTGTGTCACTCGTCGAGGAAGCTTTCAAACTTTGGTGCGCGATTGCCACATTACAAAAGACCGGCAGAAGCACGGGGAGCTTCATGCATGCATCTGCAAGCCGGGTAGGCTGCGTGAGAACCGTTTTTTTAGCGGCAATTGTGTATGGCTTTTCACCTGTGGCGAGGCCACGGACAAGTTGGTCCATGTCTCTCAGCTCAAACCCAAGTGAGTGAACAAGCCGCTGCAACGCCACATTCGCCGCACCCTCGTGCTCCCCCGCAGAGCTGTACCCTTCAGCAGTGGACCTGCGGCAGCAGCACCCCACCCACTGCGGCGGACGTAGTGGCACCCACAGCCTTCGCCTCATCCCCTAGCTCAGGAACAAAAAAAAAAAGAAGCAAGAAGAAAACACATAACTAAGGGGAGAAAGTGCAATGCTCTTCTCTCCACAGCAGTGGGCCAACAAAACAACACCTAATTGAAAGACGTTGAAACAAAAAAAAAAAATGAGAACACACCTTTCCCTCCATTTCTTTTTCTTTCCTACCTTCCCAGAGTGCGGTTTAAAAAACACCCCCGTTAAAGTGCAGCCTCCCTCGCAGACAACAGAGGCCCGTGAGAAAAGCCGCAATGAGACCCCAATAGGAAAATTGACATCCTCAGTTTTTAGTTGAAAAAGAATTAGGGCCGAAGACGAGGAGAAAACTCAACGCATTCACTGAGGCAACGATTAACGGGGCCAACTTCCTTCTCTTGTAGTAGCGCTGCCCCATGGCAAAGGCGACAATAAACGTTACGGTGGCAGCAAGCCGGTTTCCCATTTTTTTCGCGGGGTCCTGCATCAAAAGAAGGGTTGACACACCCATCAAGGCACCACTTAGTGAACCCGCAATCAGGCTTGCCACACTCCCCTTTCGGTAACCCATGACGCCGCCCAATGGCATCCCAACAGCAAGTACGCCAGCAAGGAAGGGACTTGCCATCTTGTTTGGTTCCTCTCAGGGTGGTTCAAAAAACAACTTGAAAATAAAAGGAAAAATGCGGCGGTGTTGTTTTTGTTTTAAGAGTTGTTCCGCTTGACTCGGCTTTGCTTCGCTTGAATATGAAGAAAAAGTAAAAAAAAAACGCAAAGAGAGCAAGCTGACCCCTCACCTTAATAGGACCTAAAACAGGAATCTGGCAACCACAAGAGTTACATGTATAGTCGCTATTATAAAAAAGAGCATCTATTGCACACGGAGAAGCGATGTCGTTGGTTCCTCCAAGCCCACACGCATGCCTTCGTGGTCATGAACCCTCATGCATTGCAGACGGTAGGGCGGCAAGCGCTGGAGACACAACGGTCCGCCACTTCACTTTCATTTTCTGTCTGTAGAGGGTCTGGTGGAGATCGTCCGCGTCCTGCGGAGCCTTTGTAGGATGCAGGCGAATATCCTCGAGGGCTGAACTCCCCACAACTGAAAGAGAGGCACGAGGTGCGCACTGCGTTTCAGACTTCTTCATCGGAATTGATTCCGCCTCGTCCTGCAGCAAACCACTCGCAACAAGAAGCGGGGCAGGACTAGTATACAAGTTTCGCCATGCCCTCGGTCGCTCAACAACCTGTGTGGAGGTTACGTAGTAATCAAGAAGATCCTTCAGGGCGTGTTGGGGGCTCCCCACCGACCACTGAGCTCCCTTCTCTGGCGGAGCCGGCGGAGACGGTGGAGAAACATTACTGAGCCAAGTTGCAGCCCCCTCCTCTTGATGCTGCGCCGTCCCACTTGGCGCCGATCCCTCACAGCAGACGGGAGAAACCTCTAAAACAGTCGATGGTTTTTCCGTAGGACACGTACGTCGCACCAATGTACCGCTCGCGACCGACGCCCCTCCGACGTGTATAGAAGGTCGATCTCTCTCTGCATCCGGCGTGGCACGACCCTCGCTTCCCGCACAGTTCTCCACCCCTCTCAAAAACACCGTCCGATCCTCCGCCTCAACACACCACATAATGCGCACCTTGCACAGAACTGCCCCCCCGGCCTTGAGTGCTACTGTGCGGAGGCCCACACACCGGTTGGTGCCACCAATATGAACCGCGTCGCCACTTGCCAAAACGGTGTCCCCACGCAGCAGTAAGAGAAATAGTGTGTCTGTCTCTGGCGCACTGCGCACCGTAAACTCAAATGGAAAATGTGTCACTCGATATCGGGCACCATGCCTGTGACAGTAAACCTCAAAACATGCTACTGGAGCGCCCTCCGGGGGCTGATCATTCGTCCACTCGCATCCCACCAGCTCCACGTGGTAGCGAAACATCTCATCTAGTGTCAAAAGAGAAGGAAAAAAAAGGGGAAAAACGACATAAGGGCCCACAGTCAACAAGGTTTTTCAGCCGGTATTACACTAGTAGTGTAAGAAATAATAAAAGCTGGACGGAAGACCAGGTACAGATATATATATATATATATATATATATATATATATATATATATATATA